CTTCTTCCTCTTCCCAAAGATGACAATTCAGCTAAAGGGAAGGAGATTTGAGACGATAGAAGAGATTCAGGCAGAATCGCAGATGGTGCTTGACAGGCTGACAAAGAAAGATTTCCAGGGATGCTTCCAGGCTTGGCAGCGGCGCTGAGATCGTTGTGTTCACTCCCAGGGAAACTACTTCGAGGGTGATGGATGAATTTAATACCTGAGATAAGTGTACGGGTTTTTATACGCGCAGTCTGGAAACCTTTCGATCGCACCTCGTATAAGCGGTGTTACGTGACGATGGGAAAACAGCCCGAAATATATCATAAGAAACTGCAGACATGGAAAATATCACAACTAAGTGAAGGTAATTAATTGCGTTTTGTTTTGTAAATATTGAGAATTGATATCGCAATATAATTTTTGTTTTACTTCTAGAAATGGACTTGGCACAATGTTCCACTCATTGCGCTAAATTTTAGTGTAGCTAATTTGACTCTTGCAGTTGGATGCACTTTACTGTGGTGCACGCTGACCCGTTCAAAACTCCAAACGTGTGACAGAGTCGAATAAATCTCTCTCTCAAGTGCAGCCAACCTTAAACATTTAGCGAACTATGTCCACAATGGAATGCTAACAATTATTTTAAATTGCAAACTTTTTGTGCGTTGCAAGTATGACAGCAAAATTTACAGTGTCGTAATCACACCTGGCTACTCTTTTGATATCAACAATATCGGGGAGTACCTGGACATTGCAAATGCCTGGCCAGTTCTTAAAAATATGTGATAGACGCCTTGCACGGCCACTGTGGTCTAGCGGTTAGAACGCTGGCCTTGTAATCCTGGGGTCTCGGGTTCGATTCCCGGCGGTGCCCGAATTTATAACTTGTGTTGGGCAAGGCCGTGGTCTAGGCGTTTTCCTCCGGGGGCTTCCCCGGTTTCTCCGTGGCGTCCCAACAATTACTCCATTCACACAGAAGAAGGCAATGGCAAACCCCTTCTGGATCATCTGCCAAGAACGTATATGAACAGGTCCCAGTCCGAGAAAAGGATGGAAGGATCCTGTTCATATGGACCTGTCGTCAGACAGAACACTAAATAAATAATAAATAGCAGACAAGAAATAGATTAATGCAATGCATTGTGTTATTCTGTCTTCTTGAAAATAGAAAATAAAAATTAACTGAGACCTCAGAAGCGTCTTTTTGAACAGGCGCTTGGAACCAGTCTGACTCCCCGCTCCGCGCACAGGTGGTACCTGGGACCAAACAAATGACATTCCCATGATGGCACGTGACATTCGCGTAACATTCTTTGTCTCGCCTGACTAGCAGCTTTGATGTTTACGTCCTGCGTTTAGAGTTCGATCCGCGGTTATTTTAAATTCGTTACCGTTAATTTAGAACTTCACGCGTAACGGAATCGTGGGATTTCTTTTTTTTAAAAAAAAACATTTATTTCTGAAGCAACGAACTGAAGCCGAATGCTAAATTTACTGTACCACTTGTATTTATAAAATTTACGAAGGTCCAATTGACAATTCAAGCCTCACTTTGTATAGAAGCAATGAGTATTTTTAATTCGTAAACTATAAAATCCACATACGACATCGTTGCAAAAGATAATAATTATCACTTTTTTATAGTAAGGCTTTTTTTGGAAACTCCCATAAAGTTTGATGAAGAAGATAGCTCAATTTTACGTCCATTTTATGGAAGATCAACTGAGCATTCCTCTACCTTTCGTTAAAATAATTTCTTTAGAATTTATCTTATATTAGTACAAGTTTATCCAAGTAATTACGTGTCTTTGTAATTCTACTTTGGTAGAAAGTTTATTACTTTGAACGTGAAAGCAGCCTTCCAATAGAGTTATGACAAGTTGAAAGCACTTCATTAACTATGATCTTTACAGCAAGAAATTACGTATAACTTACGACATATAAAGGGAATTTGTCTTAGATGCTCAAGTGAATCAGAAAGCCGTTAAGTTCAGTAATTTCATCTACGAAGACAAAGAGTGACCTACCGGGTGCTTTCAAAGTTTCTTCACCACAGAAGCTTTCTTTGAGGCGTTCATTTTATTATGCTTGGAACTAGCCATTGTGATTAGACGGAAAAAACACGAATAATTCTCCTGAAATAAATATATTTATGTCACATCCAAATGTAGACTACTTTTCGGTCTGCAAAAATTTCCCCCAGAAAAATTCTATAAGCAAGTTTGTTGTCTGCTCCCTCCAACACGAAACCCAAAGTAATAAGAGCCAGTTTCCGAAACGTCGCGGTTTCTTTCTTTTAGACAAGAACGATGGAAAA